CATGTTTGGTTTAGTAGGTGAACCTTCTGCTCATATCAAACACAGAGGTCAAGCTGGACGCATCTGTCGTTTAATCAGGCTATTATTGTTTATCATCTGTTTTCTACAGCAATTCTTCTAAATCCAAGTGACTTTAATTTATATACCCAACTGTATTGTCTACTGTTTCGTTTTTATAGTCGACAACACATGAGTTAAGTTAAGGAAGCTTCTTAATTATCTTAATTTCTACATAATCACTGTGTCTTCACCAACCTATTGATGTCTAGTTTTCTAGCACATATAAGTCCTCTGGGCTAAAAATGTATTATTTTATTTTTTTCTTTTACTTAACATGTTAGTTAATGATTAACCTATTGCATCCATGTCTGACCTTTTGTCTGCCAGGGTTTGGATACCGATGAAAGAGGTCACATAATCGTAGATGAATTCCAGAACACTTCTCGGCCAGGGATCTACGCCGTGGGGGACGTTTGTGGCCGAGCTCTTCTCACACCTGGTAGGAAGCAGCGCCAGTAACACAAGTCACTTTAGATAGGTAGTGTCTGTTCTTTTAATCTTCTCTCGATGTTGGAGGGAATGTTCATATCTCCCCTTAATATGCAACCTAGCAGATTGACCCAGAGACGTTGCCGCGGTAAGGCTGCTACGCCCCGGCATAGCATTGCTCCCTTTCATTGGGTAGAAGGAAAAAAGTACTCTGACAATCAGCTGTTAGGGAATCCTTCTAAACCTGGTCACCTCACCCGTGCTTTCAAAGCCGACTCTCTGTCTGTTGGCTGGGCGGCAGCGTATGTGATCACCTGCCTCCAAGCATTTAGGGTGACATTTTCACAGTGCTTTTCTTATGTATACATGAAAATAAGGAGTTAAATGTGGTTAAAAATGCAGTTTCAGCCGCCATTGCTCTCATTAAAAGTCTGTCTATTGGCCAAATGTTCAGGAAAATTCAGTCTAACATTTGTTGTAAAATGCGCCTGACCCGAGCCCTGGGAGAGGGAGCCTAGATGTCAAATTACTGATATGCTGGTTAAACAATGAGCACAGCATCGTACATTTCAATATCATAGTAGTGACCCTCAATACTGAATTAAAATGGTGAGGACCCTAACCCTAATCAGTATAAGGATTTCCTGTTTTTAACTTTTTCTCATAACATTCTGTGTATTTTACTAATGTTGTTAGTGCCCCTTTGTTTTTTTAGAAGCATTCTTTTTTTTTTTTTTATCTCAGGGCCTGTTGTGGTTAACGTAGCAGTTAATGTTATTTCATTTGTTCTGCAGTCGCCATTGCTGCTGGCAGAAAGCTGGCTCATAGACTGTTTGAGGGCAAGAAGGATTCCAAATTGGACTACTCCAGTATTCCCACTGTGGTGTTCAGCCATCCACCCATCGGTACTGTGGGCCTCACAGAAGGTGAGCACTCCTAACATGATTTCACTGTCTGCTCCACAGTTAAAGGCACTTTCTGTAATCTCAGATTCTTGGTATATATTTATCCTAACCTTCATTGCTTTACTAAGCACCAAAGAGTTAAATAATTCCTTGTTCTGTTTGTCTCAGAGGAGGCCATTAAAGCGCATGGAAAGGAGAATATAAAGATCTATAAGACTTCCTTCACTCCAATGTACCACGCCATTACCAGCAGGAAGAGCCAGTGCCTCATGAAGCTGGTGTGTGTGGGCAAGGAGGAAAAGGTAGGAGCAGTCTCTGGTTCATATCCCTGTTATTTATTAATGTTTATTCTTAAAGTTGAACCATCTTATGTGTGCAGGTGGTGGGTCTGCACATGCAGGGCCTTGGCTGTGACGAAATGTTGCAGGGATTTGCTGTGGCAATCAAAATGGGTGCAACCAAAGCAGACTTTGACAACACGGTTGCCATCCACCCGACTTCGTCCGAGGAGTTTGTGACGATGCGTTGATGCAGACGTGGTCCCCACCCGTTGGTTCTCAGCATAACCCAGACAATCAGTCCATCAGCATATTCTCTCATCAGCCTGATCATTTTGTTTATTGAAACAACTTATACTATTTTATATATACATTTTCATAATTTTTTTTGCATTAAAGTGACCTTAATTGTAAACAGTGTTAATATTCTTTTCACGTCATTCTTAACCTACCGGTAATCAAATTTAAGTTTGGCACCTATTGAATTGTTGTGAGATATGACCTATGATAATGAAAAATGATGTAAAATAATGTACAAGAATTGTTGTCAAGAAAATGGCTGGATAATCAAATAATCTCCCTCTTAGAGTTTGTGTTTGACTTGTCAAATTATGTAATACATTATCATACCACAGTTGCCCTTTACACACCATTTCAGTGCAAAGTCATAACTGATATACTCTGTAGAGTTCGACAGATCCAACAAACCTGAAGATATTTCCTTTTTTTTCTTAAATCTTGGGATTATTTTGTCATTTGTCGACCACGCCCTTTGTTATCCAAGGTAAAGAGCCTCTCCCTTTTTGTGCTTAAAAATGAATTGGGTAAGGCAGTGACTCAATGAATCCATTGAGCCGTGTTCCTGCTCAAACACATTCTTTTCCTCTGTTACATATTTTAATAGCCTTGCATATAGAAGGCCTGTAATGCTTTGTTACTAGTGAGCAGATTGATGAAAATATTAAGAATTGGTTATTATATTACATAATGTTTCAAAAAAATAAAATAAACTAGACATCTTTAATGCAAGCACTTAAAATATTTAACCACCTTATTTTTTGTTTACAAATTACATTTAAGGAGGGAAATTTACTTCCATTTAACATGGAAAATTATCTACAGAAGCATATGATTTATATTTCAGTCTGATATTTAGTTAAATGTACTTTAAATAAGACTATATGAAAACCTTAGGTAAAATGTGTCAAACCACACCTATGAATAAAAGTAGGGGTTTCCCCATATAACTTTTTCATTTCCGATACAAAAGCAATATTGCAGCTCTGAGAACTGACCAATAACAATTTGACCTGATACAATAAGCATGAATCATACATGATTTGATTACTTATTTTGTACCTTAGAATTTTAGAAAATGCTTAATCAAGTGAGAAAATTATACTCAACAAGAAACAAAGTATGAGGCAACCGACCCATGTAATGTTAAAAAAAATAAGGTACAGAAATGTTGAACAGACACAGTTTTTATATATCAGCTCGGTTTTATCAGAGATTTTAGATGCAAGCTGATATAACCTGATATTGGTTTTTCAGCTGAGATATTAAAATCGGTTAAGGAAATGTTAAAGCCTAGTCTTAATTTACTTTCTTTTTTTTTTTATGCTTTAAAACATTCATGGATTTCTGAGATCTAGACATATTTACACATCGTTTTGCAAGATTTTTCTTTTTTACCTCACACTAAATAGTTTGGAGAAATCAAGGCATTAATTCACAGGAGAAGTTAGTTTTAACAAAGGTCATTGCAAGCACTTGCGTCGGCAAACAATTTCTTAGAAATAAGTGTGAGGGTTCATTTATAGTTTGCATATCTTTCACTGGGGGGTGGGGGGGTCACGCTGGTCTATGTACTGTTCTTCAGTATTAAATTGATGCCCAAAATGTTTTATTTTTAATATGTTTTAATAAAATACGATTGTAAGTATTGGCAACAATAATAGATTTGAAAGGTTTTTAGTGCCAGTTACCATCAAATAGGGATGGTGAAAATCAGCATTTCTATTAATACTTTTAGGGAGGTTGATCAAAGAATAAGTACATGTGGTAAACCTGTTAAAATGTACAAAATTGTGAATGACCGTTAATAGAATATTTTAAAACCAGCACAATTCTTTGAGATACTGGCCACCAGGCTGTGCTGAAAGCAAAGTTTTTTTTCAGCCAGCACAGAGAAAGATGGTGAGGTAGGTGACAAAAAAGTTACAGCAGCAATATGTGACATCTGACAGTTATCCACATAACTATAGATGTTGGAGATCAGCCTGTTTTCCAGTGTAGTCCTGTTTCTCTGACTGTGACTGGCTACATGTGCTCTTTTCATCCTCTGACATGGGAGTTGGCTTGGAGCTCGTCTGCCTGGCTGGAGGTTTCTTTCTGTTAAAAGGGAGTTTTTCCTCTCCACTGTCGCTACAATCATGCTTGGTGTGAGGGATTGCATTTGAGTCAATGAGTCGATGCAATCAAATGGTTTTCCTTAAACTTTGAATCAATTTGACTGTATGATCTGGTGAACTGTAAAGTGCCTTGAGATGACTTGTTGTGAATTGGTGCTATATAAATACACTGAATTGAATAATTATAGTTTTCATCGATATGGCAACTAGTTGAAAACTTTTTCTCTCTTTCTATCCCATATGTTAAGAGAAGAAGTTTGCCTTCTTTTTACTGGAAATTGAACTGAAACCTTTACTTTTGTCAGATGCAACTGAGGTTGAGAATCTAGAGGAAATTGATCGTTTTGGAAAAGGGATCACTCCAAAAGTTTTGTAAACCTCATTAGTTCTCCATTGTTAATTCTTTGAATCCTGTCAAAAACCTTTGGGTTAAGCTCAAGAAAAGTATATAATATAGGACTCTAGCCTCTTGATTAAAAGAGATCTCCTGGGAGTTATGATTGTCATCTCCTCTAGATCTTTATCCTCCATTGAATTAATGTATGTATTTACTATCTGTGGATATATTAAATATTTTAACTCAATAAAGCCGGGCTTGTCATCTCATATTTTTCCTATATTTGATTTTAAAAAAGCATGTACGAATATTGTCTTTTTCATTATAAATGTATAAAACAATTTATGAACATGAACAGTTTTTAAATATTTTAATTTTTTTAATCATTTCTTCCTCCATGTCCCTTTACGGGCTCCGTATTATCTTGCGATAGCAAATATGTGCGACTTATCTCCAGTTAAAATAAAACATGAGGAAGGAATAAATTTGACCTTGTCGCACGTTATTTTACAGGATATCGCGATATTCTTTTCATTCAACGTTGAACCCGAACGGACCAATAGAAACTCACGCGGGACTTCCGTATAACAGGTCACGTGGTCTGATATTTGTAGTTTTTTTCCCCCCCTGTGTCTAAAGCGACGTTGGGAGCTATTCGTAAAATGGAAACATACTATGCAGAACAAGCTTCAACATAGAAAGGTATCGCTATTTGTATTAACAGTTTATAGACGTATCTGATAGTCGGCTGATATTGAGTTGTCCTAATTTAGACGTTAAGGGACCTGTTATGCCAGAGGCTAACGATGCTAGCTGATCATGCTAGTTAGCTGTGGAGCTGTTTCCACCGGGTTGTTTTATCAGAGCACAACGAAACCGACCCATCTAATTTGAAACAACTTTTAAGCTAATAATAACTGACAGCTTCATAAATTATGATAGTTTGTCTTTAGCCACGCTAACATTGCTAATTGTTGCTATCCCGAGAGTATCTGAGCGTTAATCTGTTTGAAAGGGGGTTAGGTCAAGTTGGCAGGCAGGTTGGTTATGCTAACTCTACCCTGACCGGGATATCTGACAATCTGCAGAGCAAATTCCTGCGCTTCAGCTCCAAGCCCCGCTGCAGAGAGGATGTTCCCCAGCCTGGCCCACAGACCATGGCATGTGTTTTGCAGAGTGTCCCTGCAGCGCAGGTCCTCACTGCACCACTGGGCTCCTAGGTTTCCTCCAGGTGAGCTGATGTTTGCTTTGAACCAGGTTATATTGGGTGAACTTTACTCATCTCCATGCCAAGTTTATCTGATGAATCAAAACAACTCATTTTATGATTTACTCTGATCTCTAGAAGGCTTCCGGCTCTCTATTTGCTTTATTACAGTAGTTTGATATTAGCTCAGTATAAGATTTACACTCTAACGAGGCAGCTAATCAGAATAATTGGATACACAAGGTTTTAATCTTCCTCTGGCCTTTTCAGGTTTTTCAGTCATATTCTTGCTTCTGTTTACCTCTTAAAATAAAAAAAAGTTTAACTTTGAAACATTTTTTGTTTAATTTCTGTAATTTGCCTAAAAATTCATGTGATTTTTGCACAGCTTCTGTCGGAGTTAAATAACATGCTGATGTCATTTTACATATCTCTGATGTTGCTGCAAATATCCATTACTGTAAAAAATGGTATATTGGTTATTTATTCCCCAGGTGCACAGTATTTAAATTGTTAAAACACTTTATAGTGCAGTATTTTATTTGTTTATTTTTTTTTAACTCTTCACTATTATGTTATTTTTATACACTCTTCTAAGGTCCACATTTGTGTGACCATTTTTGTGTCTTTTGCGGCTGTAAACTCCAGAATTTCCCCAGTGTGGGACAATAAATGGATTTTCTATTCAATTCTAAAAATGAATGAGAACTTTTAGTCTTCTAAAGTATTTCTCATTTTGTTTCAAAACTAGAATACCAATATTTACACTGCACTATATACTACACAGATATTGTCAGACGTATACTTTGAATGCTAATATAGTCAATCTTAATGATGTATATGCCCTCATCTGGCAATTATTAAGATGGGAATATTGATAAGAACGAAATAATAAAAAGTTTAGTTTTTGTTTTCTTTGCAAGTGAGACATAATCTTCTGTAGATGGGACTGCCTTTGAGTTTGTTTGTTTCTCATGAAGTACATTTTTTTTTTTTTTTTGTGCTCAGCCACTGTTAGAGCAAGAGCAAATTTCTGTTGTTGTACACAGTGAGCTTCAGTCATTTAATATGTTAGAGGCATAGACTGACTCAAAACTATTGCAACTCAAACACTCCAGAATGATTTTATTACTCTAAATACACATTTGGCAATAATGGCTTTCAAACTACATTTTTTGTAAAAGCCTGCTGTGTAAATCAGAACCTCATTATTTCTGTTTTCACTGGCATTGTATGTTTCTCTGTGGGGAAAAAAAAAAAAAAAAGCTGGAGCTTATCTGTAATGGTCCTCTGTTATGCCCAGGTTGGCAGGGTCGCGGCGTACGCAGCCTACGGTTCAGCCTTCCAGACTCACGTTTGGCCTCTTTGGGGCCGACCCAGGTGCAGTATTACTCTACCTCTGGTGATGGTAAAGATGTTCCTCCAAAATCAGAATCAGCTGATGCCCCCTCAGCAGAAACCGTGGCATCTGGTGCAGCAAAAGCCCCCCCTAATTCAACAGGTAAACCTTGCAGTTTAATGTTTTACTTCTACCTGATTGCATGTTGTTCACTTCAAAGTGATCTAATCATGAACATCGAAGCTTCATTTTTTTTATTAATATTGTTTCTCCCATAGATAAAGCATCTCAAGTGCTGACGAAAGCTGAGACAATTCAAGTTAAAGGTAACAAGTCCCATTGGTGCATCATTCTTTTCAAACATAGTTAAATAGGGTTTCCATAATAATTATTTATGTATTTCTCATTAATTTTTTTGTCCGCACAGTTCGAGCTGTCCTTAAGAAAAGAGAGTATGGAGCCAAATACACTCAAAACAACTTCATCACTGCTGTCAGAGCCATGAATGAGTTCTGTCTCAAACCAAGGTAATTCTGTTCTATTGTTTTTTTTAGTATAATATAAATTGAAATGCGTGTCTATCACAGGATCTGGCAACAACCCTTCATTTGTTTTACACTTGGCTTGAACAAGACCTGCTGACTTTTCTGTTAGTCAGTTTAAAGGTTTTCTTTCCATCATCTTTTTCTACTTGCAGTGATCTGGAGCAGCTCAGGAAGATCAGGAGGCGCAGCCCCCATGATGACACAGAGGCGTTTACTGTGTTTTTGCGGTCAGACGTGGAGGCCAAGTTAGTACGATCTTTTCTGCATTACACCTCAGAATATTTACAGAGAAACTGCTTTAGTTGGCTACAAAACAAGCTGTTTATCACAGCAGCATTTTCAATGTGTTTGTTTATGATTACGATCTGGTTTTGTTTCTATGCCATCAGAGCTCTAGATGTGTGGGGAAGCCATGAAGCTTTAGCCAGAGAGAGGAATCTCAGGAAAGAGGTGGAGAGAGAGTTTCAAGAGAGTAGGTTGAACATTTGTTTGTTAATCAATCAGAAGCACAACATTTCTGTACACAACAGCAGCATGAAAGAAATCCTCATATGTTATTTAGTAATGTAGAAAACATTTTTTTCTGTGCTCCAGCTCGAAACGTTTCAGCATCTTTGCAGACGGGCCGTACAGGCTGGTTGGGCCCTACTCTCCATACATGAGCTAAATTTACACAAATATCTGCTGCAAAATACTTAAGAAACACAATCATTTTGTCTAGATTTCTTTGCTTGTTTTTTTTTTTTTTTTTTTAATGGTAGAGTCAGCTTCATGCTACAAGTTTCTCTCTTTACTCTATTGAAGTGAATAACCAGATGTTCAGCAGCTGTTAGTCGTGTTTGGTCTGTTTTGTTACCTCGCTGTGGAAAAAGCTTAATCTCTGCTCTATTTGTTTTGCCTTCTACAGATATTTTCCGCAATCAGCAGCTATTGAAGGAATACAAAGACTTCTGGGGAAACACTAAGGTGAGCGATTTTTATTTATTTTATGATTTATTTGCTTTCAAGGCTGCAGAGTTTGGGAATAAGATTTTTTTGTTATTGTATGTTTTTTGAAGTTTGGAAACCAGGTAGGAAGAAAAGCTTTAATAGGCAAAGATATTTCCACACTTTATTCTGTCTTATCCTCTCAGGGCGTCTTCCATCTGTCCAGGTTTCCTTTTCTCCATTTGTCTTTCCGTCTGTCCATCTGTCCCTTTGTTTACTCTTCTATCCATTAATCCTTCTATTGCCTGTTCATCTGTCATTGGTTTATCCGTTTGTCCATTTTGTTTCTATCCATTCATCCATCTCTCCCTTCACTTCAATCTCTTTCTACCTTCCTTTCTTACCTGTAAATGTATATAAACTGTATTTGTATACAGAAAAATGGATCAGTGGATAACCAGCTGTGAAATATTGTAATGTTACGCCCCTGTATTAATAAAAACCATAGTAACATCTATTAACTATTTATCTTCAGAGTAAATTATTAACATTTTTACCCCCGTGCCATGGTGGTGTTAATTCTCCCTCGTTGTCATGGTGACCTTTGTCCTGATAGCAGGGGTTACCCCTTATTTCACTCACTGTACTCCACCTGGCTGGTATGTGGTGGCATTTTCTACTCTCTGCTGACTTGTTTGGTTGGACTATCCATCCAACCTGCTCCCCTTTTCACAGAACAACAATAGGGACAAAATGTCTATCCTGCTTTGTTATACACTGTCTAAAATGTCTTAAAAAACCCTGTCCTCCAAAACTAACAATCTATATTATAAATAATATTATAAATGTTTTTATTTCTTAAAGCCACGGTCCGGTAAGAGGGCAACATTTCTACAAGGTCCAGGGAAGGTGGTAATGGTGGCCATCTGCATGTAAGCTTTAAGGGTTTTTTATTATTCGTTTGCTTTGTTACTGAGTTTTTACTGAGTTCTGTTTGTTTTTATGGAGAAGTTGAATTTACTGAGCTGCAGCAAACATGGTGGGAGGCTTTGAATAACAGCAGAGCTCAGGGGTCTGCAGGGTCATCCACTATCTTGAGAAAGCATTACAGGCAGAATATGGGTGGATGAGACAGATGTAAACAAACTGGATTTGAAAAGAACAAGTATACATGAACAACTAATCCACCTGTGGTCCTCAGCAGGCGTTCTTAATAACATCCTTATACCAGATAATTATAATGATTAATTAATTTGTCCCCCTTGATTTCTACCTCATCGTTCATTTTAATAACTTAAGAGTTGAATGCATTTCATTTGAACTATAACTATATAACTATAAGAAAGGGAATATATGCGAAGTGAAAGAATGATTATAAATGTCTGTCATTAATAACAATAGGTCAGCTTGTTTTGTTTTTTAATACTATATGGGTGGGATGTTGGAAACTTGAAGTCACATGAGCCTCTGGTGCCCCTCAGATTAGGGTGATTGTGTTAGCGGTCACATGAAGCACGAGACCCGAGGAGTAAAGTAGTAATTTAATCAAAAGTCATGTCTAGGTCCTTTTCCAAAGTGCCCTACTTTAAAAAAAAACAAAAAAAAACATTTCCCACATGTAGACATTTACTTAGTAAAGTACATGAATAGTAAATGCTGTTTGTTTGGGTTCTTGAAAAGCCTTTGTTTTATGTCCTCAGCAATGGTTTGAACTTCTTCTTCAAGCTTCTGGCATGGGTCTACACCGGATCAGCCAGTATGTTTTCAGAGGCCATCCACTCTCTGGCCGACACCTGTAACCAGGCTCTGCTCGCTCTGGGAATCAGCCAGTCTGTCCGCAACCCGGATGCTGTTCATCCGTAAGCAGCACACCTCCCTGAAAGTGAAAAAATAAAACCCAAACAGAGTGCTTTTGGTCTGTCACTGTCACCACATGGTCAAATAAACCAGTCATCTCAGGTTTTACATTTAGGTGAAATATTCTGCAGAAGCTTTATGCAAACTTTCCCTGTCTACCTTTTAGGAAAAAAGTGTTTCATCATTTTCTGAAAACTAACTGAAAGAGAAAAAGTTTCACTCTGATAAAAAATTATTTTCACCAGAGTGAAATATATATTCCACTGTCACTACAAGCATGCTTGGTGTGAGGGATTGCATTCGAGTCAATGAGTCGATGCAATCAGCTGGTTTTCCTTAGATAGAAAACTTTGAATCAATTTGACTGTATGATCTGGTGAACTGTAAAGTGACTTGAGATGACTTGTGCTGTAAATTGGCGCTATATAAATAAACTGAATTGAATTGAATACACAGTAGAAGCAGAGAAAGAACTCTGGTTTCATTAAGAAAAAGAAATAACCTGTATTACCCCTAGTTATTGTCTTTGTCTAGAGATGTTTGTACCTGACTAAACATTGCTGGTCTATGTCTCCACTTCCTGTTTCAGGTACGGCTTTTCAAACATGCGCTACATCGCCTCCCTCATCAGTGGAGTGGGCATTTTTATGATGGGAGCAGGCCTCTCTTGGTACCACGGCATTATGGGTTTACTGCATCCAGAACCGATGGAGTCTTTGCTCTGGGTGAGTGTCTCTTTGACGACCATCTGGAAGTCTGAATTTATAAAGAGAACAAAAAAAGCATTTAATTTTTCATTTTACAGGCATACTGTATTTTGGCAGGCTCTCTGGTGTCTGAAGGAGGTTGGTTTCTTGCATAGTTTTAATTTTTTTTATTATACATTTCTTTTAACATAATTCTTGCATTTTGAATTAAACTTTCTTTGTTTTTCTTTCTCAGCCACCTTACTAGTTGCAATTAACGAGATAAAGAAGAGTGCCAAGCAGCATGGAATGTCTTTTTATGAATATGGTATGCACATTTGCCATTTCATTGGATCAAAAAGACATACTAGTTTTATGTTAATCTAGATCAGCTTTAAGACTTTAGTTATCAGAAGGTACACTGAAAAATTACAAGCTTTCTTATGAGGAGAAAGAAACTCTTTGTGTCAGATTTCTATCACTGGACACATCTCTGTGAGCTTAGATGAGAGAGAATCTGATGTTTAAATCATTCCTTATTTGGGGCTGTTTTGCCGTGTACAGTTATGCAGAGTCGTGACCCCAGCACCAATGTGGTGCTGCTGGAAGATGCTGCTGCCGTGTTGGGGGTCATCATGGCTGCTAGCTGTATGGGACTCACCTCACTCACAGGTAAAGAACAATGTCTGTGATGAAGTAACATCGGCCATTTGTTCCTGATGAGGTATGTCTTCCTGTTTTCACCAAAAAGCTTTTTACCACCTGTCCCAGGTAACCCGTACTATGACAGTCTGGGCTCTCTGGGCGTGGGCACCTTGCTGGGCGCGGTCTCGGCCTTCCTGATCTACACCAACACCGAGGCCCTGCTGGGGCGCTCCATACAGGCAGAGCATTTGCAGAAGCTCACAGAGTTCCTAGAAAACGACCCAGCTGTAAGGTCAGAATATGAGACAATGATGTAACTGTTTTCGTTTAAATCGGAATAAATCAAACATTTAATGTATTAGCTACCTGATCATATATACTACTGTTTAATGTGAATATTTAGACGTAGAATAAACCATTCCTTATTTATAAGACTGGATTCACAAGGTTCCTTCAGCTCAACTTTAAAACAGACATTCAGTTCATAACCTCGCTCACAGGAACCTTAGTCACCTATTTACACTGCCTCCACTCCGCTGCGCTGCAGAGCCCAAAGGAGATCAGTTAGCATGTGCAGATCACACAATAAAAGATAGACAGTCAGACCAAAACTTTATTTAATTTAAAAATGTATAAAATAGCTTTTTTTTATTTCCAGATCTTTTCATTGAATTGTACCAGTTTTATATACACACATATTCTGAAGTATATCTAGCCACCTTTAGTGAATCATTTTGGATGAATGCTGTGATCATTCAGTTTTCTTTTGATGTGATTTCAGTTTATTTACTGCGGTCTGACTCGGGTAACATGAAAATAAATTTTTTCGCCCTGCTGCAGGCTAACAACTGCCCTTAACTGCTGTCCTCAGATTTCGAAGTGGAGCTGGACTTCGGTGCTAAACCTTCACACAACTATTTTTAATATAATAGACTCCCTATGTTTGATTATAAGATACAGAAAACGTTCTGCTCAACGAAACAACCAGAGCCAAATCTCAAGTTGATGAATTTATTAGAAGTAAAAGCAAACGTGTTTCATCCAAAAAATATTGTTTACTGGGAAACAAATTAAAACAGTTTTAACCAAGCTATTTGCTATAAAAGGTTGAGTCAGCGAACTGACCTCAGATCAGAGAAGTCTTTGCCTCTCTGTATCCTCTGTCTCATGAGCGAATAGAATTGATCACATGAGTAAACCTTTGCTGCGTTCCTGGGCTTATTGAAGGATTTGTTACCATCTTTGTTCTGCGATTCAGCCCTCTTTAGGTTTTAGTCAAACTCTTTGGGTCTAAGATACTTGTGATTGTATCAAAAATGCTGCCTGTCCCAAAGTGATGTTTTGTAACTGTATTTATTGCACACAGGGCCATCCATGATGTGAAGGCCACAGATATGGGACTGAGTAAAGTGCGCTTCAAGGCTGAGGTTGACTTCGATGGGCGGGTGGTGACACGGTCTTATTTGGAAAAACAAGACATTGACCAAATCCTCAATGTGAGTTTTCCCTTTCATTTATAGTACTTTTTAATAACTTTTTTTTTTTGGTTTAAATTTTAAGGGTCTGTTTATTCTAAAAAAAAATAAATCATTATTTTATTTTACTAAATTATCATTTTGTAATTTTCTATTATTATTTGATTATTACAAGTCTAAATTCAACATTTTCTTGTACATTTTCAAGCACAACTGAATAAAAAATATGATATATCAGAAATAATAGGATTGAGGTGAAAAAAAGAGACAAAACAGGCTTCAGTTTAGTTGTGAAGCAACAGAGGAAATATTATTTGTTCCTTCAGCGCTCTAAAATCAAATAATAAAGAAAATCTGATTTGTTTATTTATTATCTCATCTGTAAATCTTTATGTGAACAAAAACATGCTCATAAAGTGGGTCTAACTGGAAAACCTAACTGATTTAAGCTGTGAATTATTTGATTTTCAAACTTCAAAGGTTTCTAGATCTTATTTCTTTTTGACGTTTGGAAAATAAATAAAAATAAATAACAAGCTGTCCAGTTTGAAAGTTTCCTTCCAAACTGAGATTTAGAGTCGATCCCTGCTGATCTGCAGAAAGCAGACAGAGGAACCACAATGAAAAAAACAGTTTGAAGGAAATATGTTGGCACTTAAACATTTTTGCTAAATAAAAAAGATATAACAATTTGTTTGAATAAAATGATGTATAATTAGCTTGATGGGTTCATCATGTTTGATGAATGGTGGTGGCTCTGGTGGCTGCTGTAACCTGTGCTGCTGACCAGGTCATGGGACACATGGGACAGGCTTTATTTTAGCAATCATGCCTAATAAAGGTGAGACTTATTTAATAATCATATCAGAACATGAAGTTTGTTTTTAGACTTAGACGACTTTATTGTCATTTTGTATACACAGTGTATACAAAATGACATTTAGTTTTGTACAGCATTCAGACAGTAAATTAGCTGCTTATCAGCGAAATTAACATTTTCATTTCACAAAGTGGAGCATTGATCAAACAGTTTGGGAGAAAAAAAAACATGTTACAAAATGCAATTATGTGGAAGTCCATAGCATTGCAAAGACATATATCTATATGGTCCAAAAATGCAGTAGAAAAACATTTTTTTTTTTTAGTTAACTTGAATAATTTTATCCTTTTTTTGATAAATTTAAGTTTAGGATCACTACTGGGACGCATCAGGCAAAGAAAAGCAGATAATGCTGTCTTTCTATTAGGAAAGTGCCCAAAACCAAGTTAATATTCTGTTGATTTCGAAAATGCTAATTTTAGCAATCGCTGTATTTCCAATAATTAAGATATTCAGCTAAAATTGCACCTGATTACATTTGTTTATGTAATAAATCCTGAAAACAACATGGCAGCAGCAGATGTAAACACACAAGATTTACATATTCATATTTCAGCCACTGCTATAATGCTCATCATGCAAACTGAATGGAAAAAACAAATAGTCTCGTCATGAATCCATATATGCTGCACAATCATCCTACGACAACACTTGCTGCAGGTCACATGACACATGCAAGTGGGAGAAAAAGTGTTTCTACAAATGTAGCTGCTGTCTCCAAAATGATTTTTTTGAGTCACCCACCCCTGATGTCTCCATGTTTGTGCCGTTTACTACAAACGGGAACGTTTGGAATTAGCCATGGGATTGTTTGTATTCCATCTGCAGGAAATCCAGCAGGTCAAAACACCTGAAGAGCTGGAGAACTTCATGCTGAAGCACGGCGAGAACATCATAGACACCTTAGGGGCAGAGGTGGATCGCTTAGAGAAAGAACTCAAGGTAGTAAAGGAGGAAACTCTTGTCCTCCACTAAAATAAATCTATGCTTTAGAAATATTCAGATTTATCTGTAACTGTTTATTTCCTTTGCAGCAACGTAACCCAGAGGTTCGCCACGTAGACTTGGAGATACTATAGTGCCTCAGATTCTGCTGAGGAAATGTCCTGCCGCACAAAGAACATTAGAGGAAGGAATAGAGAAAGCAGCCCCACCAACCATGATCATCTCCACCTCTAATGAACCTGAAGTCTTACTCCAGATCAGCCCTGAAGCACAAAGGCAGCGTTTGAACTTGAAAGTGTTGGAGATGCTCAGTTTGAATCTAACCACGAATCCTTCCATCCATCATTCCTCAGTGTTTGTGTCTGGATTTTCCAAAGGTCCAAACTCAGAACAGGATCAGTGTCAGCTACCAAACCTGTACATGAAGCTTACGTGTGAACAGTGATTGTGTTTCCTACACAGGTAAAAGGAAACTGGAGCTCTACATATTTAATTCAAAGGTATTTAAAGACTAGTTCATGTTAGATGGTGTTTTCTTTTAATATAAAACCTTCCTGAAGATGGCTCTGTAAGGATGCTGAGATTTTATTGCTTGAAGATGTATTCAGATTAAATTGATGTAAAGCACATCATTTGATTTCTAGTGGATGTGTAAAAATGAATGCAAAGGAGGGAAAAATCAAACTTGATTTATCATGTCTTTTATTAAAGTAAAAGAAAAATGTGATAGAGAAGAGAAAATTGAAGTTTAAGGCGATATGATCCCCTGAAATTTTTCTCCAGATTGCTTTTTTTTTTGCTACCCACAGTCACCTTATCAGCAGGTGATCAGTTCTGAAAAGATAAACTCCTGAACAAGGATAGAAGGGTTTCATCCCCACATTTTTTTTCTTTAACAAAAACTTTTTTTCCCAGATTTCACTAAATGCAGGCTTCCTACCTTTTTCCCTGATAAAATACATGCCTGCTAATGGCATGTGTTTTATCAGTTAAATATGTAGCAGGTAACATCCCTTACCAAACTCCGTATTTCTACTGATTAATCTAAAAAATGTTCAACTTCTTTGATTTTCTTCTTTTCTTTTAACTCTGCGTTAGCACCTAGCTAGCTGCAGCTGAGACACACCTGCAATGGCCCAGTGCTGCTTCAGGAGGTGGGCCGGAGTCATAAGGCTGGTCATGGATGACGGGTTTATAGATATTTTGGATGGTTTCAATAGTTATTTTACTGATATTGTCACTGCTGAAGGACTTGGAATAAATTCAGAATAATTTATTGAACCGTTGTGCAGTTGTTTCTTTTTCTGTCTGTGATAACCCAATCACAGATTACGTCATGGGCCGTTTATGTCCAAAGGTTTCACTATTTGCTTTGTGTAAATGTTAAATCTAGCTTTGATTCTAATTCTGTAAACAGTGGGTGCTTTTTGTGACCTCGATGTGATATTTTTCTACTTTTACTTTGCTCAACCATATGAATTATATGTAATTAACCCAAGTAGAACCCCAGACCCACTTAGTACTTAACAAGTTGGAGCCCACATGCTCATGGCGATTGCATCTAGATATGCAGTCATTGTCAGATTTCAAGATTTGTCTTTTTGGACTTAAAATCAAGGTGAACTCTTATGAAGTCATGCATTTTATGGGACAAATTAGATGGGTTCCAATTCAAATGGCCTCTGAATTTAAAGAACATTTGCTTAAATGTGACCCATATGGGCCATAGATGGTTTCTGCACGGTAAAATTTTTATTTTTTGTACATGTACCGGATTAGATTTAATGGTACCCTCAGTTGGAACCAACATGAACCTACAGGTTTTAGATCTGCAGTTCGAATGTGTTTTTGCTTAAACAGTTGAATTGAATGAACCCATTTAGCCCCCTACATAAAGCCAACTGTGGAACCCAGACCCTGTGGATGGCTCCATGGGATGCCTTTGCAGATGTAAGGTGGATTTATGTGTCTGCACAATAAAAAAAAAAAAAAGTTACTTTAACACCTACAGAGTTGAATATAATTGTTTCAGATAACATTTGGTCTCACTGCTGGTGAGGATTATCAGTCATCCAGGACATAGTCACTCCAAATAAGTAAAAAAAAAAAGAAATAAATCACTGGACTTTGTTTTCCAAGTTTGAAGACGTTTCGCTTACCATTAGGGAAGCTTTTTCATTTAAAAACTGTCTAGATTAGCGTTGAATTCCAAGCTTTATTGGGTAGCCCTAAGTCTTGTAATGGCTTAGAAAACATGCAAATTAAACCGGAACAACAGCTCCACCCCTTAGTAATGGGGAGTCCTTTAGGTCTTTGTTAGCCTGCAATACCTGATACTGGTGTATGCTTCTGAAAGGCAGTTGTTAGGGTCACTGTATGCCTGGCTGACCAGGCGAGATGTTTTGGTCCACTGCATGGTGATGATGATTGAGATGATATTAGGAAGGAATCAACGCTACATTGTAGGTTTTTAAGAGCTGGAACCCGAGTCCCCCCCCCTCTATTTAAGGTTGGCTTCTCTTGCTTAACATAAGCGGCTTCCTTCACAACCCTTTCAAACCACCTGCCTTCTTTGTCCAAAATGTGAACATTCTGGTCCTCAGAAGAATGTCCTTTGTCCATAAGGTGTAGATGGACAGCTAAGTCTTGTCCAAGTTGCACTACATGGCTGTCAAAATGTTCAGACCTTTTAGTTCCAAACAATGGCGTAACGACACAACAATAGGCCCATAAGCAACGTAATCTAGGTGGGCCCCATATAAAATACCCACGCTCTCTCCATTCATCTCCTGGTCACAATCTTCACTCACTGTAGCAGCAACGCCCCCCTCTCCCTCTTCGGTTCTATGAAAGAGTGTGTTTATTTTGGGACATTTGTTACGTTCTTCCAGCAGCTCTTCTTTCCTTTTTCTTTTCTGCAATCCGCTTAAGAACCTCTATTTTGGTATCCATCGTCGCTAACACATTGTACGTAATGGTTATGGTTTTAATCTACTCTCTGAATTACCCATAAATCCAAGTTGCAGTGTAAAAAATAAAATACTCAAATACATTGTTCTTTTAAGATCCTTATTGCAGTTTGAAACATATGGTATGAGTGTTTTTTTGTTGTTTTTTTTACCGACCACCAACCGTCTAATGAACTATACACAGTTATTAACATAGTAATTAAAAGTACTACTGTCTACTTTGCTATTGGGGTTGTGTTTAAACGGCTCACCATGTTGGAATCTGCCATGTGTTGGGGTATAAATACGGTTCGGTCAGTCAATCAATCAAATATCAGGTGAGTTTAAGAGGAATTTTTCGCACCATTACATCTGCAAGGAGACGTCCTATTCCCCAATTGAGTAGGGGACCAACCAACAAGTGTCAGTGACAGGGCCCCTAAGAGGTCTGGGGCTGATAGTTACGCCATTGACTCCAACACCTGAGCAGGTTTACACTCATTATAGTTGTAAATACTCTACTTAGAGTAAAATAGGTTGACTTTGTATAAAATAAAATAAAAATAAAAAAAACAATACATGAGGCCCTTATATATCCATGTAGTTACAGACAGTTCCTAATCTCTCTGGTAATTTGTGGCTCTTCACTGTGAGTACCTTTGCTGTGATTGGAGATATTTTGCTCTGCAGATGTTTCCATCTGGGGCCCCATATGTCCTCCTTTCCTGCAGATCGGGGGTCCCCGTTTGCAGCCTGAACCTCAGAAGGTTAACTGCAAAGCAAAGCCATTAGATGGTGCCGTTGTGGAGATGAGAGAGAGCCAGAACGCTGACGTCAATAAAAACAGTCATTTCCAACCAGTCTGCGCATTGAGCGACCATTCAAAAACATTACGCACAGCGCCGCCGCCGGACCGCGCTCCGTTACTCCACTGATATAACCTTTAACATTCTCCTTATTCGCAGATCTTTGGAGAGCCGGACGCATTGCGGACGATCCCACCACTGCAGGTTTTATTTTATTAACCTTTACATTTTGTGTGAGCATTTCTGGGTGTTGCGCGCATCGTCGGCGTCATGTCTCGTCTTCCCATCCCCAGGTCAGCTGTAATGCTGTCCATCTCCTTTCCCCTCCATGTCACACCGTCTTCACACACCACATGCTCGCTTAGGAACATTGGAGAATTAAAAATAGCGATCAGATCATCAGAGATCAGAAGAGCGTCAATGCGCTCCTGCAGATCACCAACATGCATCATTTCATCTCCAGCAGCTGGGCGCTGAAAGGAGACTTTCATCATCCATTATGCATAGATTTTATTATTGTGCATGCATTTAGAAATAATAGTGTTTATGGACATTTTTTTTATTGTATATCTGCTTCACACCCCCCTCCTCCTCTCCCGTTTTCTCATCTCCATCATCCTCCAGAAGGGGGCGCACTGAGTCTTCACAGGGGCTCCCATTTTCTCCAAGCCTGTCATCACAAAACCCAGAATCTCATCATACTTAATCCTATTACAGCTTATTTTTTTCTGACCATTTTTATCACCTATATGGATTCCAACCCTGCAGTGATGAAATAGTTTAAAAATATATGTTTTGAACCGCAGGGGGAAGAGGAGATCATCATCATCATCATCATGTTCTTCTCTACGCTTTTAGCCTCTTTACGGTGCTGCCTTGTCTAATCATGTTCAAGCAGCATTGTACAGGGCTATGACAGCATAGAGAGCTGTGCTGCTTCTCCTTTCTGAGCCACAGAGCCAGCCTGAGGCATAAGTAAACCCGGAGACCCCAAACCATCAGGGGGGAAGGGGGCCAAGATCACTTAAGCTCTGATACAGATTATAAATCTTAATTTCCCTGTAGAGAATTAGCCTGCTTTGAGATTATTGTGCTGTTACAAACTACAGTATTTTTTTTTTCTCTCTATTATTTACAGTTTGCTGTGTGATAGCGGGGTTAAATGCACTGGTAACTGGTCCATTCAGGACAGATGTTCTTTGATCTTCACAGCTGGAATGAATTCATTTATTATTATTCACTGTTTTACAGCAATGTTATTTTTTCCTTCGGCTATGTGAGCAGAGATACAGTTATGGTGATCACATTAAGCAGGGCTTAGAAAAGAAAATCTATACATTTTTCTGATTATCTTCACAAGAATGAGAAACTGGCACTTTAACACTAAATTCGAATTTCCATCATGGCAGAAAAGTGTAACTATTTCATTTTTTTTTTTTTAAAGACATTTAATTCTTCGGTGGCTTTTGATTCTATTGAGTTCTTGCATGGATGGAGACGTCCCCTCCAGGGCATGCTGCTGCTTATTGGATGGGATAAGACAAAGTGCAGTTCCATCCAAACCATTAACCTGCAGAGGCCCTTCTTTTTACTGTGCATGTGCAAAAGAAATAGAAAACTGGTTTAGATGAAAAAATGACTGATATTTTCTATCAACCCTTTTTAATGTTATTCCACTCAGGGAAGCTGCCCATGTGTCGCGCCAAATCTCAAACCATCTATGTGTCACCCAAAGATGATAGAGGATGCTATATGCCCCCCATTACACTTATTACTTCATTTAGTTAATATCTAAAAGTTTTATTGGGGTTTCATCTGGTCGTTTTTCAAAAATTGGCTGACACAGGGACCAGAACCTACATTGCAAAAAATTGCAAACTAAAAAAGTCATTTTTTTCTTAAAATAAGTGCACATTTTCTTTAATTGAGAAGGTAAGTGAGACACTTTGCCAATAGGTCAAGACAATTTAGAGCTAAAAAATATATATATATTTCATTGTTTTATTTCAAGGGCATAATATTTAATGATCTTATTTTAAGATTAAAACTATTAATTCCTAGGGGAAATCAAATTAAGGACAAATGCGATTAATTTAATAAATATCTTATTTCTAGATGGCTTTTGCAGTGTACATGTATAAATACACTGGATAAAGTGCAACATTAAGTTAAAAAACAATTCACACTGTAAATGGTTTCATCTATTAAAATAATACATTAAAATATGCAGCAACTTGACCTGGAGCCTAAAGTGATGAGATGGCAAATTGAAAAATTATAAACTTGTATTTGTTTGTGACTTAAACCAATGTTTTAATGCCTGTGAACATCCATAGTTTTTGTTGTGCATGATTTTTTTCTGCTGATCGTCTCTGTAGAGGTAGATCCCACTTAAGGTCCTTCATCAGAAACAATATACCTGCTTAAATTATATTTATAATGCATTTGTTTACAAATGGACAAAACCTTTGCTATTAATGCTGTTTTTAATATTACACCAGGGATGGACTGATTTTGTAGAAAT